AGTTAATGTTCTATTGTTACTTTGTTTTATTGTTAACCATTGTTTGCTTTGCAGGAACACCATTCAGCTGCAGTACAGATCTCTTTATTCTGACAACAACAGGATATTGCTCTCAGAATATATATGTCAGTGTGTGCAGCACTGCTGGATAATATTATTCATCTGCAATTAACTGCTTCCCTGCCACCCTATAGCAGAACTATTGCTACAGGACAGCAGGGCTGCACAAAATAACGTTGATATACGTGATTTTGTATTTCCGGGTAGGGAGTGCATGCGCGCTGCCATTTGCAGCTACAGTTGCCAATCATTGGGTCTGGGCCAGAGATTCTACACCGGCACCTGACGATCTCCGAGGAACAGTGAAAGGAGAGAGGTCTGTGTGTAAAAACAATATAGATCTTTACCCTGTCAGCAGGAAAAGACTGCTTTGTTTTGCTCTGCACAGCAGAGCAATACAAAGCAGCTTGTCCCCCTAGTAAACCACACACAGCACATCATGTAAAATACAGCACAACACACAGTTAACCCTTTGATCGCCCCAGATATTAACCCCCTTCCTGCCCAGTGTCATTAGTACAGTGTCAGTGCTTTTTATTAGCACTGATTACTGTATTAGTGTAATTGGGATGTCAGTGGCAGTTAGTCAGTTCCCCCCAGTGTCAGAATGACCGCCGCAGTCCCGCAGTCCTGCTATAAGTCGCTGATCACAGACTAGTATAAAATTTTTTTTTTTAAATTCCAGTATATATACCGCCAATTGTAGATGCTATAACGTTTACGTAAACCAATTAATTTACATGTATTTGGGTCTTTTTTAGCAAAGACATGTAGTTGAATAAATTGTGGCCCAAATTTTCGACGAAATCTGATTTTTTAAATTTTTTTATTGGATATGTTTTATAGCAAAAACTAAAAAATATAGTTTTGTTTTTCAAAATTGTCATTGTTTTTTTGTTTATAGTGCAAAAAATAAAGGCGGTCAAATACCACCGAAAGAAAGCTCTATTTGTGGGAAAAAAGGACATAAATTTCATTTGGGTGCAGCATTGCATGACCGTTCAATTGTCAGTTAAATTAACGCAGCGCCATACAACAAAAAATAGCTTGGTCAGGAAGGTAACTTGAGGTAATCCTCTGGAGGGCAAGTGGTTAAAAAAGAACATATATGCCCCAGCATGGGGGCCTGGGGTAGTCAGTGGGTGGATTGCCCCTATGCTTCGGTATATATTTCAATAGAAAAGTTATTTTATTAAGTTAATATTGTATTGTTACTGTGTTTTATTGTTAATCGTTGTTGTTTGCTTTGCAGGAACACCATTCAGCTGCAGCACTGATCTGTTTATTCTGACAGCAACAGGGTCTTGCTCTCAGAATATAAATCAGTGCTGATGGATGAGATTTTTCATTTGAGATTTTTTAATATATTTTTAAAAAAATTTTCTGGCAGAGATTTCCTCATCCATATTGATCAATGTGAATGGAGGAATATCTTAGGGTCTTTTTTTCATTCAGCCCAAGGACTAAATTAAAAAGAGTACATTTACCTGTATGCCCAATATTAGAAGTGGTTGGATGCATATTCTAATGGTGGGCATACCACACACTTTTTTTCTGACAGAGATTTCTTCATCCACATCGATCGATGTGAATGGAGGAATCTGTTGGGTTCTTTTTTTTTTTTCATTCAGCCTACAGGTTGCATGAAAAAAAAGAACATTACATATATATTCTCAACAAGGACCAGTGACGTACTGCTATGTCGCTGGACTTTGAGTGGTTATACCGATATGATTCTTGCAGCTACAAGCATCATCCTGGTATTGTTTTTTCAGCCGATGGACATCTTTCATGTAAAAGCAATCCTAGCAGCAAATTAGCCTAAGGATTACTTTTAAAAGCAGCAGAAGGGGATGCCCCTCCCGCCGCCTTCCACTTCCACAACTTTTTTGGGCTCTCCTGTCCCACCAGGAAACCCGGGAATGCAGCCGGTGCTTCTGCCTGCTGATCAGAGACCAGAACGGCTCCAATCATCTCTATGATATAAGAAACCAGAAGCTCTGAGCATTTCATCACTTTGGTTTCGCCAGATATAAACAGTGCCATTTTTAAAATAGGAAAGCATCTGATCACACTATTCTTTGTGTGATCAGATGTTTTAAGGGCAGAGGAGAGATCTACAGTCTAATAGACCCCAGATTTCTCAGAAAGGAGTACCTTTTGGGCCTATTGCTATCATACAGGATATTTACATTCCCTGTGATGACAAAAAAAAGTGATTAAAAAATAAATAAATAAAAGGAACAGTGTAAAAATAAGAAAAGCAAAATAAATAATAATAAAAAGAAAAAAAGCACCCCTGTACCTCGCACAAAGGTGTATGCATGCATTGGCCCTGAGTCAATATGTAAACAGCGGTTGCACCATGCATGTGAGCTATCAACGCAAACATTAGATCAAGGACAGTAATTCTAGCACTAGACCTCCTCTATAAATCTAAAGTGGTAGACTGTAAAGACTTTTAAATCATTGCCTATGGTTGTTAAAAATGTACAGTCAGGTCCATAAATATTGGGACATCGACACAATTCTAACATTTTTGGCTCTATACACCACCACAATGAATTTGAAATGAAACGAACAAGATGTGCTTTAACTGCAGACTGTCAACTTTAATTTGAGGGTATTTACATCCAAATCAGGTGAACGGTGTAGGAATTACAACAGTTTGCATATGTGCCTCCCACTTGTTAAGGGACCAAAAGTAATGGGACAATTGGCTTCTCAGCTGTTCCATGGCCAAGTGTTTGTTATTCCCTCATCCCAATTACAATGAGCAGATAAAAGGTCCACAGTTCATTTCAAGTGTGCTATTTGCATTTGGAATCGGTTGCTGTCAGCTCTCAAGATGAGATCCAAAGAGCTGTCACTATCAGTGAAGCAAGCCATCATTAGGCTAAAAAAACAAAACAAACCCATCAGAGAGATAGCAAAAACATTAGGCGTGGCCAAAACAACTGTTTGGAACATTCTTAAAAAGAAGGAAAGCACCGGTGAGTTCAGCAACACCAAAAGACCCGGAAGACCACGGAAAACAACTGTGGTGGATGACCGACGAATTCTTTCCCTGGTGAAGAAAACACCCTTCACAACAGTTGGCCAGATCAAGAACACTCTCCAGGAGGTAGGTGCATGTGTGTCAAAGTCAACAATCAAGAGAAGACTTCACCAGAGTGAATACAGAGGGTTCACCACAAGATGGAAACCATTGGTGAACCTCAAAAACAGGAAGGCCAGATTAGAGTTTGCCAAACGACATCTAAAAAAGACTTCACAGTTCTGGAACAACATCCTATGGACAGATGAGACCGAGATCAACTTGTACCAGAGTGATGGGAAGAGAAGAGTATGGAGAAGGAACTGCTCATGATCCTAAGCATACCACCTCATCAGTGAAGCATGGTGGTGGTAGTGTCATGGCGTGGGCATGTATGGCTGTCAATGTAACTGCTTCTCTTGTATTTATTGATGATATGACTGCTGACTAAAGCAGCCGGATGAATTCTGAAGTGTTTCGGGCAATATTATCTGCTCATATTCAGCCAAATGCTTCACAACTCATTGGACGCCGCTTCACAGTGCAGATGGACAATGACCCAAAGCATACTGCAAAAGCAACCAGAGTTTTTTAAGGGAAAGAAGTGGAATGTTATGCAATGGCCAAGTCAATCACCTGACCTGAATCCGATTGAGCATGCATTTCACTTGCTGAAGACAAAACTGAAGGGAAAATGCCCCAAGAACAAGCAGGAACTGAAGACAGTTGCAGTAGAGGCCTGGCAGAGCATCACCAGGGATGAAACCCAGCGTCTAGTGATGTCTATGTGTTCCAGACTTCAGGCTGTAATTGACTGCAAAGGATTTGCAACCAAGTATTAAAAAGTGAAAGTTTGATTTATGATTATTATTCTGTCTCATTACTTTTGGCCCCTTAACAAGTGGAAGGCACATATGCAAACTGTTGTAATTCCTACACCGTTCACCTGATTTGGATGTAAATACCCTCAAATTAAAGCTGACAGTTTGCAGTTAAAACACATCTTGTTCGTTTCATTTCAAATCCATTATGGTGGTGTATAGAGCCAAAAATGTTAGAATTGTGTCGATGTCCCAATATTTATGGACCTGACTGTATGTAGTTTGATGTTGTTGCATGGGACGTGCAGTTTTAAAGCATGTTTTGTATCTATGTACTCGGCATAACATCATCTTTTATATTATACCAAACAATTGACCAATATATTGTGTTTTTTGTGCATTAAAATGCAAAAAGGTGTATTTTTTTCCCAAAAAATTGCGTTTTAAAAATCGCTGCACAAGTACTGTCTGACAAAAAATTGCAACACCCACCAATTTATTCTCTAGGGCCTCTACTTTAAAAAAAAAAAAAAAAAAAAAAAAATAATATATATATATATATATATATATATATATATATATATATATAATGTTTGGGGGTTCAAAGTAATTTTTTAGCAAAAAATACTGATTTTTTTTCATTTGAACAAAGAGTATCAGAAAAGGCCTCATCTTCAAGTGATTGGAAGAGTGGGTGATGTGTGTTAATGTTGGGCGTTTACAAGCGTTTGAAATGCCGGTAAAATCTACTCCATGTTTGGTGCGATAAAAAAATTTACTGTAAACAACTATGTACATTTATTATTTTTTGTAAAAAGGCGAAGTTTTCCTTTAACGTTCCAAAGCATTTTATTGAGTCACGATGAATTAACATTTATGTTTTTTTAAGTTCCCTGACTCATTAGGCCACAAAATAAGGAGGACTTTCAGAAACAGCCACACGACACATAGTATAAGACTGAACAGACTGCCCGTGTCAAATATGGCCGCCGGAGCCTCGACGTACCTAGAAGTCGCGCTCTTCAGTAGCCCGGGCTGACAGTGCCCAGCATGCAACGGGGCAGCGTCTGGCCTTCAGCAACATGGCTACCCCCATGCACCGGCTGATCGCTCGCAGGCAGGCGTAAGTTTCCATTCGGACGCGGTGAGGTGGGGGGATGTACGGGATACGTCGGCTGAGGGCCCGCTGGGGTGTCATGGCGTCATACGGGGCGGGCTAAGTGAGCAGTTGTGTTCTGGCTCTGGCTGGAGTTCCGGTGCTGTGGGTGGGGTGATGTGGTTGTAGCTGGAGCTTTACCTCAGGATGAGAGCAGAGCCGACCGAGCTCGTATTCTGGTAGTGTGTGATTTCTGGGGTGAGGGCAGACCAACCAGAGCCTGGCATGGCGGTGTACTCCTCATACTTGAGGGGGAACTGAACCCCTAGATTTCAATGTCTCCCACAGCGACTTCAACCAAGGCATGCCTCTGGTGATAACTGGCACAGATATCAGTGGGCGTATGGGCCTGTGTCAGTTCACAGCAAGCTGCTTTTGTACCTCTATACAAGTCTATGGGAATGTAGAACCCTCTTGAAAGGGTTAGTTGACCTTTCCCTCAAAAAACTGTCTGTGAAGATGAGGCCTCTTGCACACTGTAGCTTGAAAAAGCTCAGTACAGTGGGGGTTTTACTGAGGTAAAATGTAGCCCATTATTTACAACGTAACAAAACGAGTAAGCGAGCGCTAAAATAATTCCAAATGTATAAGCAGCTGTACACCAAAAAAAGTACCCATAAACCTTCTAAAACACATATACAAAGAGGGGGTGCAGCACTACTAAACTCAACAATGACAAAAATGCATATATGAAGTGACAAAGTGCAAATAAAGAGGTCACTAGATGGTGGTCAAAGGTGCTAAAGGGTGTTGACTCTGTTAAAAGTCCAGAGAGAAGTGCTGATGAGATTTCAGATGGTCTCAGGGTGTACAGTGATATGGACTGTGGATCTTGGTGATAAATAATGAGATTGCGCACTCACCAGATACACAATTCAAATGCGCAATAAATAGTAGTAAGCCTCTGGTCATGTCAGCGGCTCGGTCTCCATGACTGAAGCGATATCCCGGACAAAGCACACCCGACAAAAGATGACACCGACCGGCTCCTTGCCCTATCTGGAGTCGCAAGGAGCTGGTCGGTGTCGTCTTTTGTCGGGTCTGCTTTGTCCGGGATATCGCTTCAGTCATGGAGACCGAGCCGCTGAGAAGCCAATCACGTTTGCAGAACCAGTCATATTCTTTGTGAGGAGACCACATGGGAGCAGGCTGTATCCATTGAGTGGGAATCCCCCATGAGTGATAACACCGCCAGGGAATGAGGATCAATTGGACCTGATCTGACCAGACCTATCTGGATGACCAGAGGCTTACTACTATTTATGCGTATTTGAATTGCGTATCTGGTGAGTGCGCAATCTCATTTATCACCAAGATCCACGGTCCATATCACTGGACACCCTGAGATCATCTGAAATCTCATCAGCACTTCTTCTCTCTGGACTTTTAATGGAGTCAACACCCTTTAGCACCTTTGACCACCACCATCTAGTGGCCTCTTTATTTGCACTTTGTCACTTCATATATGCATTTTTGTCATTGTTGAGTTTAGTAGCGCTGCACCCCCTCTTTGTATATACATTATTTACAATGTGCCTTTGCACACATGCGCGTAATAGAAAAATCTTCATTTTTTGGTCAGTAATTTACGCCACCTACGCGCATATGAACATAAAGATTGGTTCTTCTTAAGAATATATTGTGCACGCAAATGTGTGAATGCAGATATACGCGCAAAGCAAGCGCTTGAAATTATGTTAAAAAAAAACAGTAATGGTCAAACATCAGTACCATGTGTACAAGGCCTAAGAGGAGGGCTCTGTAGGTAAACATGAACTGCAGCTTTGGCCAAAGTTGAATAATGTCCTTCCTATAGGTGTAGGCCAGGGGTGTTAAACTGCAACCCCCCCAGCTGTTGAACTACAAATCCCATGAGACATTGCAAGGCTGACAGGGCTCATGTACACTGCAGCTGACAAACTCACGTTCAGGAGCTGTTCAGTTTTTTTCAGCATCCCCTGAACTCATTCTGTTTTCCTATGTGTCCATGCACACATCGTTGTTTACAGACAGTTGAGTTTACAGGTTTTTTTTTTAATGCAGAAAACTTGCTTTCAGCAGTAGATTTTATCAACGTTTTAAACGCAAAACGCTTCTAAATGTGGCTAACCGTGTTTATAAGCATTTGCAAAAAATTTTTTTAACGCTTCCATTTCCAGATGCTGTCCAGAGCCATTTTTTCATCATGAAAAATGCTTGCAAAGTGTTTTCCCGGTACTCAAATGGACCTGGTACACCATACTTTGAGGTTTCGCATGAAAGAAAATGTTAGGCACTGCTACAATAATTTCTGCACAGAAATGAGCTGGAACACATCCGAACACCACAAATAAAAAAAAAAAGAAAAGACACCTAATCTCAACACATACTGCTCTCTCTGCTTCTGCTCTCTCTATTTCTCTCAAAATGTCTGAAATAGTTAAATGTTTTACTGTTTTTCAGTGTATTCTGGGCATTTTGGAAGGTCTGAGGTTATCTTTAACTGTTTGCCTACCAGTCACAGTATAAATACTGCGGCAGGGCGGCACCGCTGTGCAGAATCACTTTTTAAAACGTAATTTTGCAAAACTGGGCGCGCGCCCGACCGCCCTACTCGCGCCGCCGATCGTGGCCGCGGGTGTCAATCACCGGGTCCCAGCCAGTCGTTACCTGCCGGGTCCCGACGATTGCCGACAAAACGGTGACACAGAGCACAGCTGCATTGTTTTCAATGCAGCTCTGCTGCTTGTCTGTTCCCAACACACTGTTCCTGAGAGTGGAGTTTAGCTCTAGGGATCAGTGTGTTCCTGTGAAGTACACACCCCCTGCCCACTAGTAAAACACTCCCCTCACACAGTTAACCCTTTGCCTAAAAAATTAACCCCTTCCTCAGTGCCATTAGTACAGTGTCAGCGTTTTTTTTTTGCACTGATCACTGTATTGGTGTCACTGGGGATGTCAGTGACCCCAAGTCAGTTCCCCCCAGTGTCAGAATGTCCGCCGCAGTCCTGCCATATGTCGCTGATCGCCGCCATTATTAGTATATAAAAAAATTTAAAATCCAGTATCTATACTGCCATTTGATACCTTAGATTGTACGCCCCTTGAGGGTTAGGGACTGATGTGAATGTACAATATATATGTAAAGTGCTGCGTAAATTAATGGCGCTATATAAGTACCTGAAATAAATAAATTTGTAAATGCTATAACTTTCACATAAACCAATTAATTTACACGTATTGGGGTTTTTTTTTTTAGCAAAGACATATCGCAGAATACATTTTGGCCGAAATTTATGACGAAATGTGATTTATAAAATTTTTTTACTGGACATGTTTTATAGCAAAAAGTCCAAAATATAGTTTTTTTTTTTTTTTTTTTCTCAAAATTATCAGCCTTTTTTTTTTTATAGCGCAAAAAAAAAAAAAACCGCGCAGCGATCAAATACCACCGAAAGAAAGCTCAATTTGTGGCAAAAAAGGACGTAAATTTAATTTGGGTGCAGTGTTGCATGACCGCGCAATTGTCAGTTAAAGTAACGCAGCGACATAACACTAACCGCTTCCTGACCGCCCTATAGCAGAAATACTGCTACAGGGTGGCATGGGTGCACAAAATCACGTATATATGTGATTCTCGCTCCCGCTGTGTGTTCACGCCCCTCCCAGATAGAGTCGGATTGCCAGTCAGTACACCAGTCATCACATTTAACCCCTTGATTGCCAGGAACACGCTCTTGCACAATAAACCTCCATTGCTAGTATAGTGTCTGAACGGATCAATATTTTTGACCAGATCAGCACTATACCAGCATTCACATTAGTATAGCGTCCCCAAAAACGCAGCGTTAGCAGGATCAGCCCCGGCACCTGCCAGCACCTGCGTTTTTGTCTCTATGCTTACCCCTCCCCCCTCTTCTCCCCCTGCAAGTGCAGTGTCAGTAGGTCACTGTTACTTGATATATTACACACAAAACCGCAGTGTTCGCAGAATCAGGCCTGATCTCTGTTAGCACATGTCAGTAAACTTTGATGACTCTCATATGCAGCAGAGTGCCAGTACTAGTGCCACGCTACCTTTTGGTGAACTGGCGAGTACTAGTGGCCTAGTACATCCTGGTCTTTCACATATCTCTTAGATTGTAAGCTCCCAGGATCAGGCCCTCCTAACCCTCTTGTATTGAACTGTATTGTCTCCTGTTATATTGCAGCGCTGAGCAAACTGTTGCGCTATATAAATCCTGTATTATAATAATAATACCAGCACTGCAGTATGACTTGGTGACGTGGCGAGTCCCATAAGTGCAGTACAAGCTGGTGCGGTGGCAAGCATAACACAGGCCTGTAGAGCCCCTAGTATCCTTCCAGATGTGCTTGCAAATCCTGATTGACAGCCCACAAATTCTGCAGCACCCATACTTCCCCCATTCACTGCCCAACCCGGAATTCAGGTGGAAATAGCAAATTTATCTCCTCCCCTTGATTTTTGGAGCTGTTTTTCATAGAATATCTGTATCCGTTGATTGTGGATCAAAGCAATTTATATGCATAACAATTTATCGCTGCCAACCCAAATTCAAACCTTGCCAGACCAGTCGCATGGAAACTCATTACGGTTTTTGAATTTACATTTCTTTTAGGCCTAACCATCAACATGGGCAATACTAAAAAAAAAGAATTCCAGTTGTATTTGTCCACAGACCCGATTCATCATATGCCTGTGTTCTCTGCTGCCATGGCCAGGCATAGATATGAGAGTATAATGTGTTTTAGGCATTTCAACAATACACTCTGTCGTCCTCGGGGTGACCCTGAATTTGACCGGCTCTCCACAAATTTCAGCCCCTCGTAAATCACCTTAACCAAAAATTTTCAGATGTCTATACTTCCCGGCAAAACATCTGCATTGATGAGTCCCTGATTCATTTTTCTGGCCGCCTTGCATTCAAACAATTTCTCCCCAGCAAGCGTGCCAGATATGGGGTCAAGATGTAGAAGACCTGTGAGAGGGCAACAGGCTATACTTATAAGTTTCGGATTTATGAGGGAAAAGATAGTCACGTGGAGCCCCCCGGATGCCCAGACTACATGGGGAGTAGTGGCAAGATAGTTTGGGACTTGGCGTCATCCTTTTTCCATATGGGGTACCACTTATACGTGGACAGTTTTTATTCAAGCATACCGCTATTTAAACATTTGTTCAATCTTGGAACTGGCGCATGTGGCAAAGTGCGACCTAATGTGTGCCCACCATTAATAGTGGGTGGATGCAGGGAGGTATATTCTAATGGTGGGCATTCCACACAAGAGATTTCTTCTTTTTTTTTTTTTCATTCAGCCACAGGCTGCATAGAAAAAAAAAAGAACATAGCATATATAGCCAACAAGGATCAGCGATGTACTGGTACATCACTGGACTTTTAATGGTTATACCAGGATGATGCCTACAGCTGCAGGCATCATCCTGGTATAATTTTTTTCAGCCGGTGATCGGCTTTCATGTAAAAGCAATCCTAGTGGCTAATTAGCTGCAGGATTGCTTTTACAAGCAGCGGGAGATTATGCCTCCCCCCCCCCCCGCTGCCTTCCACGGCCTTCTCGGGCAGTCCCGTGCCATTGGGGGAGCCTAAGAATGCAGCCGGTGTTTCTGCCAGCTGACCATAGAGCTGATTGGAGACCAGAGTGGTGCCAATCATCTCTATAGTCTAAGAAATCGGAAGCTACGAGCATTTCATCACTTCAGTTTCGCAGGATATAAACAGCGCCATTTGTAAATTGGGAAAGCATCTGATCACACTGATCTTGGCTTGATTAGATAATGTAAGGGCAGAGGAGATATCCAGAGTCTGATAGACCCCAGATTTCTCAAAAAAGAATATATGACAATGCCCATTGAAGTTATAGGGGATATTTGCATTCCCTGTGATAGCATTAAAAGTGATAAAAAAAAAAAAATTAAAGGTACAAAAAAAATTAAAATAACTTAAAAAATAAAATACTCGCCCCTCCCATGCACGCACACCTGTGTGCACAGTATATAAACAGTGGTTGCACCATGCATGTGAGGTATCGCTGTGAACGTCAGATCAAGGGCAGTAATTCTAACACTAGACCTCATCTGTAAATCTAAAATGGTAGCTTTTAAAGCGTTTGCCTATGGATATTAAAAATGTATGCAGTTTGTCGCCATTGCACGGGGCATGCGCAGTTTTAAAGCATGTCATGTTTGGTATCTATTTACTCGGCATACTGTCATCTTTTATATTTTACCAAATAATAAGCCAATATATTGTGTTTTTGTGCATTAAAAGTAAAAAAAGTGTATTTTTTTCAAAATTTGTATTTGAAAAATCTCTGTGCGAGTACTATGTGCCATAAAAAATTGTAGTACCCACCATTTTATTCACAAGGGTGTCTCCTTAAAAAAAAAAAAATAATGTTGGGGGTTTAAATTAATTTCCTAGCACAAAATACAGATTTTTTTTTCATGTGCACAAAAAGTGTCAGAAAAGGCTTGATCTTCAGGTAGTTAGAAGAGTGAATGATATGTGGCATAAACTTCTAATGCTGGGCATAAAACGCCCTCACCCTCCAAAACGACCCATGTTTGGAAAGTAGACACCCCCAACTCTTTGCTGAGAGGCATTTTGAATCAATAGAAGAATTAATTTTTTTAACACAAGTTTTTGGAAAATTACAAAAAAAAATATTTTTTTTTTTTTTTTTTTTTACACAAAATTGTCACTTAAATGATTTACTGCTCACACATGCCATGGGTATATGTGGAATTACTCCCCAAAATACATTCTGCTACTTCTCCCGAGTATGGGGGTACCACATGTGAGAGACATTTTGGCAGTCTAGCCAAGTACAGGACCCCAAAATCCAATAAGCACCTTCAGGCTTTTAAAGGCTTTATTTCCTCATTACACTTCCTGACTACCTATCGCAGTTTCGGAGGCCCTGAAATGCCAGGATAGCACCAACCCCCCACAAATACCCCTTTTTGGAAAGTAGACACCCCAAGAAATTTGATAATACGCATGGTAAGTATTTTTCAGTTCTCATTTGTTGCCACAAGTTTTTGGAAAATGAAGAAAAAAAAACAAAAACTTTTTTCTATTCTTTTTTTATATTTCAAAACCTTGTGAGAAAAAATGAGATCTGCAAAATACTCACCATGCCTCTTTTTTTAAATTCCTTGGGGTGTCTACTTTCCAGAAAGGGGTCATTTGGGGGGGTTTGGCGCTATCCTGGCATGTCAGGGCCTTTGAAACTGTGATAGGTAGTGAGGAAGTGTAATGAGGAAGTTACGCACCTTCAGGCTTTCAAAGTGGTCATTGGATTTCAGGCTCCTGTATGTGGCTAGGCTCCCAAAAAGTCTCTCATGTGGTATCCCCATACTCGGTACAAGTAGCAGAATGTATTTTGGGGTGTAATTCCACATATACCCATGGCTTGTGTGAGAAATAAATAATTTAAATTACAACTTTGTGTAAAAAAAAAAAAAAAAAATGTTTTTGTCATTTTCCAGAAACTTGTGAAAAAAAATAAATCTTCCATGGACTCAATATGCCTCTCAGCAGATAGCTTAGTGTGTCTACTTTCCGAAAAGGGGTCATTTGAGGGTGTTTGTACTATCCTTGTATTTTAGCACCTCAAGAAATGTGATGGGCAGTCAGAATTTTTTTAACCAAAAACATGTAGCAGAATACATTTTGGCCTAAATTTGACGAAATTTTAGTTTTTTTGGATATTTTTTATGACAGA